GTTGCCTTAAATTATTGGGTATTACAGTACAGTTTGAATCCTCTTCATTTATTGGTTTTACTGTGCTCAAATTGCTTCATTTACTCTAATGAATCACGTCCACAGTACTGATTAGGATTAGTTTTTGAACTTAAATGGTTTGTTGCAATCAGTTTCCTCAAATGGTTTTAGTTACTTTAACTTTTTAGGTTTTACGGTGTATAGACCCTTTATACGTTTCCGGGTTTCTCAGTAGTGAAAGGTTTCATAGTTGGGTAAACTTAGAGCGCAGTGAATCGAAGAGTACAACAACAACAACAAAAATCACAACCCTATTCGCTGAAATAATAAAAGAAAAACGTTACAATGGTGTTATCAAGACTTTCAGAAAAAGTAAAAAAAAAAAAAATGGTGCGAGACAAGTGGTGCAGACAGAAGAGAAAATAACATCAAATTTACTCTCAGCCCCATAGACGCTGTACTAGAAACACCTTGCAAGCGGTAATGAATTTTTTTTGCAATTTGACGCAAAGATGATATAATATATTCATAAACACATATAAATGTTCGTATGGTTTTTTTTCAACTTTCAGGGATTTAAGAGTATGATGTCTGTTAAACATGTCATAACAATCTTGTGAAAATGATTCATAGAGTAATAGAATGTTTTGAGTTTCAATAGGGCCTCATACCTGGAATTGCTTAGAGCCCCTGAATCAATAAGTATGCCCCTGGTAATGCTCCATATATTCTCACTTTGTACATGCATCAAATATACCACAATAAACATGTGCAGCCTATTTTGTATAAAGCAGAGATACCCAAAGTAGAGCTTGTGGGACAAAGTTGCAACCTTTGATTATGCCCACCATGGATGGAGTGTTGGGGCAAATGAATTTAACACAGATTTCAGAGATCGTCATCACCTTTTTTTGTTTGTTGCTGTTTTATTGTTTCAATGAAATGTTGTAAATTAATCAGATTTTTTTCACATATAAATACTGTCACTAGACGGATGGAGGACTATACAGATGACATCAGCGAGCAAATCAAGGTAAAAACTAGTGTAATTCTGTTATAAATTACTTTGTTTTGTTTCATATAAAATACTGTATTAGTTCATGTAAAGCAATGTTTAATAGTCATTTTTAAACATTATTAAATAAATTTGGAAATTACCAATGGCAACCGTGTTTACCTTTGTCCCACTAGCCTCAATCAAGTTTGGTTTTAAACCCTTCATAAGAACACGTTTGGGCACCCCTGGTCTTAAGCTTCACCAAACTCACTAAAAATGTGATTTCTGGCCATTCTTTCTAATGTCATTCACAACAAGCCTCCCCCTGAAGCCCCCTGCTGTCACACGCCAGACCGACATCAAAGGGGGGAACATGCAGCCCTCTGATAAAGCCCCAAAACTTGGTCTTCAGACAGCCAGGAGGCAGAGAGCCGCGGGTGTCCTTCTCTGACGGTCTGAGAGCCGTGACATGGAAGCAGAACTGAAGGCACAACTGAGAGGATCTGCTGGGTTACTCATCAAACTCAGCGCACGTACATGGTCGCCCACGACTCGACTATCTATCTACACTGCGCCTACAGGGCCTGTTCTGCACACAGACACAGGGAGAGGTGTTAAAAAGACACTTCACACACACAGCAAAAGCCACTGCATTGCTGCAACAGGAAACGTCGAGGCCTTTTTTCTGAAAGTTGAGGAAGTGAGCGCGCAGTGATGAGCAGGAATTTCTCGCGCTGGGTGCGACAGACTTCTTGATTTCTGGCCGTGAGGCGGAAAATAATATAGTGTATCCTCGCTTGTAATGCATGTAACGTCAGTAATACAACAACATGTCGTGATAAGTGCTTGGCGTTGTCGCGAGTACATAAATAAACCAGCCACAACTTGAGACCAACAAGATAACAGCAGATCGCAGCTGATAATAGCGACTAAATGCAACACTCCTACGCGATTTCAGTTGCATTTGCTTTCCTATGGTGTCCAAGAGCAGGACGGAGGGCTGGTGAATCGTGCTGGTCAGTCACCCCACCCTGGCCGAAGTACAGGAGATGTCCAGTGATCATGTTTTAGGAGCGTTTGCTTCGAGTGCCTATGCATGTACACATCTTATGGGCTACAAACGAACGAGCTCAAATGCACTACTGGCTCCCCAAGACATCCCTCCAGCCTGGGAGGTTTGCAGGGAGTGTTCATCCTCGGGTGGGATGTTAGTACACAGTATCGTGACTTCAAAATTAGAAGTCAGAGCCTGAATTGAACCTGCGCTGTAAACTGTCTCTCTTACCTGGTCCCCGCCTTGTCGCCCATCTCCGCAGGCTGTTTCCTTCAGTAAAGGCTGGACACTTTGTAAGAGATGTTTCACAGAGACGAAACCTCGAATAAAGCGTTCCTCCTTTCCTCAATCAGTGCCAGTCTTGCAGGGTAGTTTCCGCAGCCCTGAGACGGAAGCCTCACTCGCCCCACTCCGCTCGCTGCTGCCGCTTCAGACAGCAAGCAACTGGGCTTTGGCCTGGGCGTTTGACAGGCAGAGCGAGTAGCCAATCACGAGCGGAGAATCTTCTACCGTCATCAGGCGGGTCATGATATCCGCCCACTTTGCCCAGGGGACCACCAATCAGAGATATGGTTGAGAAAGAACTTGTGCTGCTTTGGTACACACACATACACACACTACAAGGAAAAACTCAAACATTTGCATATTTACGTGTATCATATGGCGTATGTTCCGCGTTCTCGGGGGGAACGGCGAACTAGTGTTTGTAATGTATTTGACGGATTTGGAGTGCTCGCGCGTTTTCATCCTAATGTCAACCACAAAAATGATATCTCTGAAGGAAGTCCATTAAAATGTCAGAATGATGAGGCGAATGACATTACGCGGGATCAACAGACTGCAAAAACGTCTTAAACTACATTTTGTGAGGTGATGGTAATATTTCTCCTAGATAAACTAATACAGAGTTCGTTTAAGACTGAATATGACTCCCGTCTAATTTCAGTGTGTCACTAATGTCATTTTCCACAAGATTCCCATCATGGCATTATGTAACGCGCCCATGAACTCTCCTACTATAAAAGAGCCTTGCGCCATCTAGCGACCATCCAGAGAAAGGTAAACAACATCCACATACATATCGGAATATTCCTTTAGGCAACACATAAATAAATAAACAGCAGTAGTAACCTAGCTGCTGTTGATTACATATTTACAGTGATGAACTGTCTTAAAATGTTTTTTTATTGACATTAATCGAAGAATGTTTAATATCCATGACACTTTTTACTGGACAAGTTTCTTTAGATTGGGGTGCCCAAACATTTTAGTTTAAAGAGCCAAAAACCAAATATCATTGAATGCTTTGAGCTAAATGTAAATATACCAAAATGTATTACTCTAAAGTTGCCATGGGTCATTTCCTTGTATTTCATAATATTTCAAAATAAACATAAAACATTGCTTTAAATTGTATTAACTATTGCAGTATAACTTGTTAAATTATAACTTACTGCAATAAAAACAAACAATCACTTTTATAACACAGTGGAGTTCAATGCTGAATACACTGTTCAAGCAGAATCTGCCTTTGACTTGATTTTCCCAAAAGGCTTATTATTGGGTGACTGTGTACATTTAAACAGAATTTCATTAGTTTACAGCAGGGGTGTCCAAACTGAGTTTAGTCCCAACTTTCCTCAACACACCTGCCAGGACGTTTCTAGTATATACAGAAAATCTGCAGTCACACTGCACTTTTCTCCCCGTAGACTTTCATTCATACACACGCCAAGGCGTCAGACTGGAAACACAAGGTCGTGCGGCAAGTTTCGCAGTTCGCTGCGTTGGAAAGTTTAAGCTTGGTGAACTTTGACCTGCAAAATCGCATCACTTGACTGCGTGAGACCAATCAAGGATCAAAATATGACCTCTCTGGAATGAAATTTAAAACATGGAGCAATCGCTCGTTTTTTTAAACGTCTAATCATCTCGTTTAATCCCACCCCTTTTCGCAGTGCTGTACGACAGAATTTCGCATGCAAACTCTATTGTGACTGTGGCATAAGATCTTGATTAGCTGGTTCAGGTGTGTTTGATTAGGATTTGAGCAAAACTCTCTAGGAAACCGGCCCTCCAGGACTGAGTTTGGACACCACTGGTTTACAGCACTTAATTGAAAATTTTAATTTCAGTTAGCTTTTAACATAAAAACAAACAAACAAACAAACAATTACATTAAATTTGACCTGACAAACTCGAAACCATCTCCATCATTCTCAGATGGCATTGTGGTCCAAATCAAAGGGTTAACATGGGCCAACGTTAGCCCACGGGCCCTAGCTTGGGCATCTCTGCTTTAGATTGTCTTCACACTACAAAATTAATAGTTCTTTGGAGAACCCTAAATGACTTTGCAGAACAATGCACTTAGGGGCGACTTAACCAATAAGCAAGGTAAGCAGTCGCTTTGGGCCCAGGGGAATTATGGGCCCCCAACCAATACTAAAAAGCCTATATTAATCATATTTTATACATTTTTATCATATGTTGTAAAATCTGTCTATGAATGTTAAAGATTTTAACGTTATTTTATTCTTTTAATTTTATTTATTATTTTTTTATCTTGTTATTCTGTATGTCGTTGTCTATGTGTTAAAATAAATCAGCAGAGCCTATATTAAAATGCAGTATTTAAATGAGGTGGTTTGTTAGCCCAATGCTCAACCCCCCCAACTAGGAGAACCAGAACATACACTACAGACACCTTACCCAATTCTCCTACAGCGATCAAAACCATTGGAATCATTATTTAGTTTAAGGCACCTTAAATCATTCCCCCTCCAATTGTTCAGTCTTTTAAATATAAAACATCAAAATGAAAAGTGGAGTAGAAATGTTTAGAATATACAGTATTCTAGCCATAGTTTAATTATCCATACTTGTCAAAGTGACTCATGCTGGCATCCTATATATTCTTTGTCTGTTTCCAGAAAAACAACACACAAATAAAAACGTTTCAATTTAATTGCAAACCTCAAACATATAAAATGAAAATCATAGATACAGATAAGTACAGATTTATCATCAGCATTGTGTCTTACTTTATATTCAACCAAAACATGAGAATCAAACTAGAGATGCACGATATATCAGCGACCAAATCAACATTGGCCAATTTTTTTGTTCAGATATTTCTTTTTTTACGAGTGCTCATACTTGTTTTCCGCTAACGTTTGACCACATTTTACACAAATCTGTACTTTTATACATATATATATATATATATAGTGCATTCCTAGATCACACAACAGTTAATATTTATAGGGAAGATAATATAAATACCTTTCCTATACTGATCTTGGATGTGCTAATAATAATAAACGACATATAGCGCACCCGCCTGCAACAAAACTAACCAACGTGCTGGTGGCAACTGCTCTTTTTTGCACTGATTTTCTTTTTTCCTAAAACTGGACAAGAATGACGGCTTCAGCATGAAATGTCTGATATCGGCGCACAGTTACCAAACTATGACACCTTTCCACATGCAACACACCACAATCATAAACGATATCTACTCAACCATATACAGAGCTACGCACTCTTAAACTGAAAAGGAAAAATAGAAGGGATTTACAAATGTATGGTGTTACTTGTTTGAAGGCCTTTTTGTTATACAATTGGTAAAAGCATACAAACATGGGCTAGGAAGACACCGGGCTACGGTGATGAAGTGAGGTCTTCACATGCTCTCACACACACACGAAGCTGGAGGTCAAAAACGGTGGTTTTTCGGTCTCTAACCAACAGCACACGAAACATTCCACCTCTATTAAAACAACAACGGGGCTATGAAAGACCACCAGTGTATTCCGTATCTACTGGGGAAATAGGTATCATAATTGTAACACACACACACACGCACACACACTGAGAGAAATAAAAATGAGTCTATTCGTCGTCGTCATATTCGTCATCATCCTCTTCCTCTTCTTCGTCTTCCTCGTCATCTTCTTCATCGTCCATGTTGCTCTTCATCATGGGTTTGGGAGGCATACAGTTAGCCATTGGCATCCCCATGCCCATGGAAACACCTCCGGCCTTGCTCTTCGTCTTGTAGTCCGCAACATCCTGCATGAAAATGCAAATATTGTTAAAATTTGCTGCCATTTTTAATATGCTGCATGGAGGATGGAAGTATGGAGACATGCCTTTTGGTACTTGTCCTTCAGCTTGTTGGCTTTCATCAAGAAGGGTTGTTTGTTAGCATCTGTGAGGCCATTCCACATCTCGCCCAGTTTTTTGGCCACATCTCCGATGCCCAGGCTGGGATACTGAGCCTTGATTTGAGGACGATGTTCAGAGCAGAACAGGAAAAATCCAGAGCTGTTGAACAATAGAGATTGGAAAGTTCAACAATGATTGTGTATGAGCAATAACACTCATTTTAAAACTACGAAAATTATTTAATAATAGTTTTTTATTATTGTTATTCATTACCAAACTACAGAAATGCAATATAACATTTAACCCCCACTCTTAGTACATATTTAAAATGTTAAAACATCAATAAACAGGATAATTAAAGGAACTCTTAATCAACTTTTAGATAAATTTATAGGGGGCGACGCGTTGCGCAGTGGGTATCGCAATCGCCTTACAGCAAGTAGGTTGCTGTTTCGGGCCTCGGCTGCGTCAGTAGGCATTTCTGTATGGACTTTGCATGTTCTCCCCGTGTTTGTGTGGGTTTCCTCCGGGTGCTCCGGTTTCAAGTACAAAGACATACATTATAGGTGAATTGGGAAGGCTAAATTGTCTGTAGTGTATGTGTGTGAATGGGAGTGTTTCCCAGTGATGGGTTACAGCTGGAAGGGCATCGGCTGCATAAAACATGTGCTGGATGAGTTCATTTCGCTGTAGTGACCCCAGATTAATAAAGGGATTAAGCTGAAAAGAAAATATTAAATTTATAAAGAGCTTTCCTATTCTGTAAACAAACTGATGACTAATAAATTCAAACCCTAATTTTAATTATTTATCAAGAAAAACTATTTAAACTCCTACATAATATTTGATTTAAATTGAGGTTTTAAAAACTGATAATTTTGAATGTAAAACAAAATAACAATTAGAAACCCTGTCATAATTTTTAAAATCATTTATTTAATTATCCAAATCAGCAAGAACTACAAAATACATAAGTAAAATTATAGCATTTTTATTTTGCTAATTTACCTTAATTATACCCCCAGAAATGCAATTTGTCAATTATTTAATTAATAAATTAATCATTTATTTTTATTTATTTATTTATGCATAATAAAATGTAAGGATATTAAAAGAAACCGGTCTTATACATGGTTTAACTAAAGTAACATTATTTAATTTATTTGAATAAAATGAAAATGGTAGGGCATCCGCTGCATGAAACATATGGCGGAATAGTTGGTGGTTCATTCTGCTGTGGTGTCCCCTGATAAATCAGAGACTAAGCCGATGGAAAATTAATAAATAAAATAAAAATCATTTAAAATATTCTACTTAACTACCTGTAAATATGTATGTATATAATATGTAGATAAGTTCTATAGTTTTAAACCACTACATAAACTACAATTGCTAGTATGTAACTCAAAAACTGAACTGAATCCCTTTCTGGCAGCATCAAATTAACAAAATATTTTTTGTAATAACTAGACATGGTCATTTTTGATAATATACTCACGGTGGTCTCTTGGGGGCATTGGGATCCTTCTTTTTGCCTCTCTTTCCTGGCATGTAATGCATCATCTCCTGATCATAACGCACCTTATCTTGTTTGGCCATGTCTTCAAACCGGGATTTCTCTTTATCAGTCATCGCCTGCGCAACAAAATCAAGACACCTTTGCACTCAAAACATGAATCTACCCCCATGTTGCATTATTTACATTATTATATATATAATAATTTAAGTGACATAATATCAGAAATGTCATTATAATCTAACCTTCCACCTTCCGGAGCATCTTTTGGAGAACTCCGAAAAGCTGACCGGAATCTCAGGACTTTTCTTCTTGTGCTCCTCTCGGCAAGTCTGAACGAAATAGGCATAAGCAGACATCTTGCCCTTGGGCTTCCTGGGGTCCCCTTTCGCCATTTTCGTAAGAAGAGAGGGACCAAAGTCTACTGAAGTCTTCTCTTGTGTTGTGATTTGATCTAAATGATAGAAAATAAAGAGCATGAAACAACCTTTTACCTCTTAAGGTGCAACTGTTAAAAATGTATTTTGATTTATTATGTTATTTTATTTTACATGGTGCATCATTTCTAAAAGCAGAAGGGTGCAGGGCTTATTAAACTAAGATGATGCACAAAGGGAATTCCAGACCCGTCCTTCTCATGTGGGGGGATGTGAACTGATTATTAATGAGACTGATTGATGTTCACTGCCCTTTTTTAGGAGAAAATATACTATGCCACTGCTATATTCTTTGTGGCCGCCGTGCAATAGTAGTCAGCAATGCATCTTTTATTGCAAAAGTTTGGACTAGCCATGTATTGCCTTCATACACATTCTAGGTTATATATCAACGCACTTGGTCATGGTTGGTGGGGGCCTATAAAAGTGGCTACTAAAACCCAGAAATACTTTTAGTATTAAAATTATTATTTGTCACAAGAATGCATCCTCATGACAGAAACTGCTCTTTATTTTGATTAAACATTATAAAATTTTCATTTGAAGCCAGTCACTGCTCTTGGTTTAAAACTATTGAATTGCAGCGTTCTGCCTGTTTACAAGCATATAGATGCTGTTATATATAGCAGCTGCTATAAGCTCTGGCTTGCGCTGCTGTTCTTCATTCATTAAAATGGCTTCTTTGCGGAGCGAGCAAACAGATGGGTTGACCGTGCAACAAAGCAATACACACCCCCTCGCGTTTAAAAGGCGATTCTAGCGAGCACGAAGCTTTAACGACAAGAAAAACATGTTTATTAGCTAAAACAAAGGTTACACTTTTAGTTTGTAATAGCTGCAAAATGCTGTCAGGTCGCGTTTTGGCGTATTTAACTGTTTTTCTAAGTTGTCGCTTGGCGCAGTGCTGCCTGCCTTAACAAAGACTACAGCCAGCCATTGCCTATGCGAGTCTATCCAGAGCGACTGTCAAGCTGGAAAAGAGGATAAATGGCTATTCAGCGTTTTTATTTTAATACTAAGAGATAGAGATAGACATTCCAGAGCGAAAACGAAAGGAAAGAGCGGTTTTGCACGCAAAACAAACGTTTTCTGTGTTAAATGATTCCGTCCTTGCTGCGTGAAGGAATAGCTGTTCGTCAATGGTCTCAATCGCCAGCCATTTTAATACACGGCGAGCGCGCTTGTTTAAGTTGGAAGAGAAAAAACGCAAAAATACATTTCCCATTCGGTTAGAGCTTTGTGGTTCATATTTTAGGATAGAGAGCAAATAATAATAGCATAAGCGAATGATTGCGAGGATACTTTTTTAATTTACGCGAAGATGTCATCGAAATCGGTCTGCATAGAAGAAGCAGGCTGGTTCATAGACAGGACACGGCGAGCCATATTCAGCAGCGATGCGCGTGAAGAATACAGTCCAATACAAATCAGTTTAATAACTTTTAATCTTTCAGGAAAAAATAAGACATTATAAGCATTAATATCAGCAAGGCTAGAAAAATACATTGGACTTCTTTTTTAAAAACAGTTTTATCTTCTTTCCACACATTTCTGCAATTTATATTAAAAAATCACAAACACTATATAAAGACAAAACGCAGATATTAGCAAACAAACTGCAAATATACAAAACTCCTTCTTGACCTTCACATGTAAATAAATAATTATCAAAAATGCATTTATTTTGCTTTTAGTGAATAAATGCTATTTTAACATTTTGCATATATATATTTTGGAAAATATCAAAGTGCATAAAATTAAACATTTCATGTGAATATGAATGAAATGAGCAGTGTTGAAAATGAGACGGTTTTCCGTACCTGTGTTGTTGACTTGATTGAAATCTCGCCACTGTCTTCCCCTCTCTCTCCTCTTTAAAGCCCATGCGCTGAGCCTCGCGCTAGCTCAACACGAGACCGGCCTGATTGGCTACGCAGTCTCGCCGATTCAAAACAACCTCCATTCCTCGCCATTGGGCCGCGCTACACGCACATCAAGCGCCCCTTCTTCCAGATTGGTCCTGGCTTGGGTTTTCGTATGCCCAGCCTCTGCACTTTTGGAGGATGCCTAGTGAACTTACACTGAACAACTCTAGGCTTCGAGTCTGGTTAGAGCTGTGAGGTTAGTGCTCAAAAATGATACACTGTTAACAGGATTTTTGACCATGTTTAGAACTTTCCTTCATCCAAATACATATAATACAGTAATAATCATGGGTTCTTTAAAGTAAATATAACCACAATTGTGTGACTCTAGTTCCTTAAGGACCTAAATTACTTTTAGATTTTTTGTCACATGCAGTTATTAGGTTTATAACTACAACAACATATTATTATTATTATTATTATTATTATTATTATTATTGAATCACTCTAAAGTGAATATGGGAGAAATAAGATTCGCATATCATCACAGACAGATCATGTGCCTATCAAGAAGTAAAACAAAACAATACTCTTATACAAGTAGCACACAAAATCAAGGTGGAAGACCAAGCTCATATGGAAATCTGATATACATAAATTAGGGCAGCACGATATTGGAAAAATCTGACTTTGCGATATTTAGTTTTACTGGGATATATATTGTGATATGGATAAAATTTTACCAGATTATTTGAATAGCTTTTTTTGTAAAAATGTCATTAATTTAGATCAACTAATGATTATATGCAGAATCTGCATAAATTATAATAGATTACAAGCAAAAACTAATAAATGAACAGTGCTTTATGCTTTTCTTTTGAGTCTAGCAGCATTCAAGTACTGAAATCCAACAATCAAATGTAAAATAACGAGGTCATCATTGTATAAATAATAAAAAAAATATATATATAATATTTATTAATATCCGTATCTTTTAAACGTTAATAAAAATTTATCCTGTGATGTGACTATTTCAGATAAACATATTGCGATATCAATGCTCAAACGATGTGTTGTTCAGCCCTAGCATGAACATACAGTTAAAGTCAAAATTATTAGTCCTCCAGTGAAATGTAAAATTTTTTTTCAATATTTTATTACGCAGAGAAGACTTTTTAACAGATTTTTAAACATAATAGATTCAATTAACTATAAAAAATATAATAATTTATAATAATTAAATTCTCTTGTCTTTGCCACAATGACAGTACTTAATATATTACTAGTAATTTTAAAAGATACTAGTATTCAAGTGCAATTAAAGGACTAATTAAGGTTAAATAAGTAGGCAGGTTAGGTTATAAATAGGCAAGTGACTGGACAACAGTGATTTGTTCTGTATTCAATCCAAAAAACTAAATCTTTGAGGGGCTAATAATATTGACCTTAAAAATCATTTAAAGATAAATTATTGCAGCCAAACTAAATGAAAATAAATTCTCTAGGAGAAATAATATATTATCGGAAATACTGTGACAATTTCTCTGCTGTGTTAAATATCATTTGGGAAATATTTGAAAAATAATTAAAGTTTTACTTGCAATTTTGTCTTCAACTATAAAGTTATAGCTAATATATTTGAACATATACAGTATGTTCATGATTGTAATTTCAATGGTTGAAAGGATATGTATAAACTGCCATTTTTGCAATGTTTTGAAGTGTATTTTGCAAATATGACATTTTATAAAACGTGTATGTCATACAATTGAAATCAGAATTATTAGTCCCTCTTTGAATGTTTTTTTCTTTTTTAAATATTTCTAAAATGATGTTTAACAGAGCAAGAACATTTTTACACTATGTCTGTTAATATTTTTTCTTCTTGAGAAAGTCTTATTTGTTTTATTTCGGCTAGAATAAATGTAGTTTTATTTTATTAAAATCATCATTACACCATCATTACACAATAACTTGCCTGATTACCCTAACCTGCCTAGTTAACCCAATTAGTTAAGCCTTTCAATGTCACTTTAAGCTGTATAGAAGTGTCTTGAAGAATATCTAGTTAAATATTATTTACTGTCATCATGGCAAAGATAAAATAGATCAGTTATTAGAAATTAGTAAAAAAAAAACTATGTTTAGAAATATGTTAAAAAAATCTCTCAGTTAAACAGAAATTGGGGGGGGGGAAGTAAACAAGGGGGCTAATAATTCTGACTTCAGCTGTATGTAACTTGCCATATTTCAGATTTCTTATAGAATATACCTGATATTAGGTACAGCTAAGTTACCAGTTTGGACCCTCCTTTGCCTTCAGAGCTGCTGTGATTCTTTGTGGAATAGATTCTACAAAGTGCTGGAAACATTCCTTAGAGATTTTGGTCTAAATTGAGGTGACAGCTTGAAGCATTTGCTGCTGATTTGTCAGCTGCACATCCGCAATGTGAATCTCCTGTTCCAGTAAATCCCAAAGGTGCTCTATATGATTGGGATCTGACTGTGGAGGCCATTTGAACTCACTTTCATGTTCAAGAAACCAGTTTGAGATGATTTGAGCTTTGTGACACCTTGTAATGCTTTAAGTATCGATGGGTGGCTGTTGTGGTCATAAAGGGATGGAAACGGTCTGCAATAAAATTGTAGTGGACTGTGATGTTTAAAGAGACAGTTCCCTCAAAACTGAAAATTTTGGGATAATTTAGTCACCCTTCTCTTGTCACAAACCTGTGTGGGTTTCTTCTTTTCTGTTGAACACAAATGAAGATTTTCTGAAAAATGGTGGAAACCAACATTGACTTCCATATTTCCTTTTCCTACTATGTAAGTCAATGGTTACCATTTTCCAAAACATTTGAAAAAAAGAAACTCAAAAAGGTTTAAGATCACTTGAGGGTGAGTAATTCTTCCTTTTTAGGGTAAACTAACTCTTTAATTTAGTACTACTGGGCCAAAAGTGTGATAAAGTGAAGTATTTTCATACAAGTACACAAACAGCAGCCTAAATCATTCTATGCTTTCATCCTCACGTCAAATTCTGACCATATACCACCCAACCACCAGAGCAGAAATGAGAGAATAATCAGGATAATTTCTCAATCTTCTATTACCCCATTTAAATGAATTGCCACAGTCTTCCGCTTCTGCAGCTTATCTGCTTCAAACATTGTGTTTTGTGATCAGTTTGATTTGTTCTGCACATCTCAGTTGTAACAAGAAACCATTTAAGTTACTGTTGGCTTTGGTCATTCTCCTTTAACCATGTTTACCTACAAAACTGCTGCTTTTTGGCTATTTTCTTTTTTTGGACATTCTCTGTAGTACCTAGAGATGGTTGTGCTAGAAAATCCCAGCAGATTAGCAGTTTCTGAGATACCTAGACCAGCACATCTTTACCAACAACCATCTTTCTCTGCCATTCTGATGCTTGGTTTAAATCCCTTGTGAAATTTAACTATTGTTTTGCTACAAAACTAACTAACTAACTAACTAACTAACTAACTAACTAACTAAATAAATAAATAAATAAATAAATAAAAATGTTTCATACAGGAATCGTAGTTTAACCATGACATTTAAAATAAAACTGGTGCAAATGGTGATCAATGCATCAAAAAGGTGTTACTACACATTTATATAAATTTTTTTTTAAAAATATTAAAAAAGCTAACATTTTGTAAAGATCAGCAGATCCTCTTGAACTTGCCTATGTAAATGCGCCATATACACTCAAAAAAAGACTTTCACTGCTTGTTTTCTGCTTATTTAAAATAAAACAACACAATAATTAAGGATTTTTAGGAACAATTTAATAGTTTTACGTTCAATCCATTTAAAGTTTCTTACAGTGCATGAGTATATGTAAATTACACATTATAATGTAATGCTTCAATGAGTTGATGCCGTGTGATTAATTAGTAGATATAGCACTGGTGTACCTAATAAAGTGTCAACTGAATGCAGCTTTCTCATCTTTGTTTATCTCACACATCTGTAGAAGCAGATGTTAGGCACTGGAGGCCTCTGGCAGATGGTTTATATATAGATGGTTTTATATTTTGTCTGCGTTTTAAGAGTATGCACTGTGAGATATTTCAGATGAGGTGCATGAAAACAAATTTACCAGCACATAAAGCAGCCTGCAAGGGCAAATCGTTTGTGGATGCACCAGGGAGACGTTTGTCCTGTTATGATGTACCATATACAGGGTGTACTTTCTTTGCTATGATTTCATAGGCTGTGGCAGACAGTAATAATCCCATTTTGTTTTATACTGTACTACATTTTTTTATGATAAATGTCTTCAGTGTTGAACCTGAAAATAGCAAGACCAACAAAATTTGGTGCTTCATTCAAGACATAAAACAGATTTTTTGACTCTTCTCACAGGATGCACTTGTATAGCCTATACTTTTCTTCAAGCTTTATGCTGCCCAATGAAATTCCCGAAACATTCATCAAAATCCCTTTTTTACCTGGCAAGCAATGCAAAACATGAATTACAGCACATATCTTCCTGTTTTGTAAGAATTATGTCAGTGTGCCACTACAGGGATGCTAAGTGTGCCACAATAAAGTGCTGTTACATCTACAGTAAAATAGACTTTCAGACTAGAAATGTGTCCTAAATATTCACTCACTGGCCACTTTATTAGGTACACTTTAGTAATACCGGACCCACCTTTGCCTTCAGGACTGTCTTAATCCTTCATGGCATAGATTCAACAAGGGACTGGAAATATTCCTCTGAGATTTTGGTCCATATTGACATGATAGCATCACACAGTTGCTGCAGATTTGTCGGCTGCACATCCATGATACGAAACTCCTGTTTCACCACATCCCAAAGGTGCTCTATTGGATTGACATCTGGTGACTGTGGAGGCCATTTGAGTACAGAGAACTCATTGCCATGTTCAAGAAACCAGTCTGAGTTTGCATTATACTGCTGGAAGTAGCCATCAGAAGATGGGTACACTGTGGTCATAAAGTGATGGACATGGTCAGCAACAATACTCAGGTAGGCTGTGGCATTGACACAAAGCTCAATTGGTACTAATGGGCCAAAAGTGTGCCAAGGAAATATCCCACACACCATTACACCACCACCAACACCAGCCTGAACTGTTAATTCAAGGCAGGACGGATCCATGCTTTCATGCAGTTGATGCCAAACTCTGACCCTACCATCTGAATGTTGCAGCAGAAATTGAGACTCATCCGACCAGGCAACGTTTTTCCAATCTTGTCCAATTTTGGTGAGCCTGTGTGAATTGTTGCCTCAGTTTCCTGTTCTTAGCTGAATTGAGTGGCACCCGGTGTGGTCATCTGCTGGTGTAGCCCATCCGCCTCAAGGTTCAACGTGTTGTGCATTCAGAGCTGCTCTTGGTGTGAAATGAGTGATTATTTGAGTTACTGTTGACTTTCTATCAGCTTGAACCAGTCTAGTCATTCTCTGCTGACTTCTGCCATCAACAAGGCATTTGCGCCCACAGAACTCCAGCTCACTGGATTGATTTAATTTTTCAGACCATTCTCTGTAAATTTTTAAAGTTTCTGAAATACTCAGACCAGCCTGTCTGGCACCTACAACCATGCCAAGTTCAAAGGCACTTAAATCACCTTTCTTCCCCTTTCTGATGCCTGGTTTAAAATGGTGAGTGTTAACAAGTTAAATTCTGTCTTCATGGTTTTTTTTGTACACTTATTAATTAGCATGCCTCAAAATACAATTCTTATAGTATACTAAGTTCATATTTAGAAGCAATATTTTATATCAAAATAATGATGCTTTAAACTGTCTTAGAATACTGAACTTTTTAATATACATTATATTAATTGTTAAAGTTTTTTTCTGATTCTTTTCAGCACCCATCATTCACAGTGTGGTTAAGGCATAATTTACTCAAAACTGAAAATTCTGTAATTAATGACTTATCATCATGTTGTTCCACAATTGAAAGACTTTCGTTCACGTTTGAAATATAAATAAAGCTATTAATAATGAAATCCAAGAGGTTTCTGTCCATACTTTGACAGCATATGCAATTGTCAAGATCCATAGGGACAGTAAATGTATCAGTAAAATAACCATAGTAACACATGGATTCAAAAACCATAGAAAAAGAAATATTTGTGCACAGAAAGCAAAAAGAATTACTTAATTAAACAATTTTCATCAAGCGGTAAACTAAAATCTATTTAAATGCATCTTTAGCAAAATGGAGGAAATGAGTTGAATATATATCAGTTAGAAAACCTGATTTTGTTGCTAAAATCTGCAGGAAATTGACCATCTAGGAATGGGTTTGGGAACCCCTGATGTATGCTTATATATATATATATATATATATATATATATTTACATTGTATTCTGTGTTATCCCCATATGTATAATTAAGGTGGTCACTTGAGATTATTCTGGAATGATTATTATGACGTGTTCTCACCCTGAATGTAAATAGTCTTTTAATATTTTATTATTTATATTTTCTTTTGTTTTTTATGCTAGTTTGTTTTCTTTTTATAATTTAACAAAGTTTGAGTACTATGTATAGTTAGTTCAAATATTGTATTATTGTACTCAATTGAGTGTTACAATATACATAAAATAAAAGCACCTTTAGCATTATTACTGTACAATTTAATAAACAAAGCCTGCAAAAAGAACAACTTTTGTTTATTTTTCCCCCTCAAAAGCTTTCCTGTCAGCTTATAACATTCACGGTATTCACACCAAATCAGTTTTATTTGAAGAATTTTTTCATGGCCTTAAATGTCGCAGAAAAGCGGTCAATAGATGGATATTTGGAACAACAAGAGGGAATAGTTAATTACAGTTTGAGTTTTGGGTGAAATCTATTTAATGCATGATGATAATATTGTGGTCAGAATATTATTCACATTGTTCAGCTTGAATGTAAACAGACCTGTACATAGACTTGTCCACTAACGATAATGGCCTGTATTCACAAAGAATCTGAAGGCTAGAAGTAGCTCATAACTTGTCAGTTTAGCAGAAAATCTTAAAAATAATCCATGTCTGTCTTAAAATTATCGACTCCTACATTTTGCGAATATTTCATAAAGCTAAAGTTAGAAGTAATGGAGAAGACTTCTAATTCAGTAATAGGGGGTATTCCTATAGGGTAAAAATATAGTATCAAATACATTCCTGCAGACTGGTACACTGTCAGAAAAAAGGGTACGGTTGGGGTACATTTGTGAACACTTGGGGTACAAATGGTGAAGTTGTACCCTCAATGGTTCAAAGTAGCACCCTAAGATACTTATATGTACCATTTAAGGGTAAAAATGGTACAAATATGTTCCCAACTGTCAAAGGGTCCATGTTTGGGCCATTTAAGGCCCAAAGAAAGGTACAATCACTTGTGTGAAAAAGGAGCAAGTCAACGTGTATGAAATGGTCCTTCATTTATGTTATGAGTTGTTGGTTATTTGGAAGAAAAGCACAAAAAAAACTGTACATTGTAAATTAAATTATTTAATTATATAAAACATGGTCTTATAAATATTATAAATTAATATTTTTGATTTAAGAATTTGTTAACATAAATCCCCCTAAACGTAAAGTGAAATGGCTTATTATACACAGACCTTTCTTTGATTATCAGATTTAATAAACTACTAGAATGGACATACAAGTATAAAGTAGATGTATACAATAGGAATTAAAGGTAACCAGCTTGGTAAACAAAGACAGAGTACAACATTGTAGCATTAATAAATAAATTAATTAATAAAACAATTATAAAACGTAACAGAATAATACTGCCAAAATAATATACGTTAATTTATAAATTCAGAATTTCCTTAGTGTTGGGAAGCTAACGTTCATGTTTACTCAGGACAGGAGTGAAGTGAATAACTACCTGTCCCCTTTATGTCTGAAACAATATAACTTTAGTTTATGCATATCTCGACCAACGTTCATTTATAGCAGTTGTATTTTGTAACGTTACATATTTAAATAATGTTATTAACGCATGTTCAAGAGAGTCCTAATCATCTGTCGTGTCAGATCGAGGTACAGGTCTTTATCAAACCTTTGAGTTGCTAATTTAAAGCTTTTTTGTTGTTTGCTGTTAACCTCAAGTTCACACCGATCATGATTTTTTTTTCAGAAAATGAAGTGGACGAGGAAGCAGTAGTGTAATAACATAAGTATTTAGTATTTTGTCTTTCATCTGTTTGTTAATAATAATATATATATGTGTGTGTGTGTGTGTGTGTGTGTGTGTGTGTGTGTATACTTTTTCCCTAGGAATTCATTGTGCAGTCTTAAATTTAATCTCCCTTTTCTATGAACTGTAAAGTGAAGTGTTAAAGTTACATTTGAATTTTTATGATTGTCATTATTATGGACTTATTTTTGATCCAATAGGTGATTCCTGCAATTGGTGAGGATGCATCATCTTTTGAGGGTAATGCGAATGTCCTGCGTATCCAGTGAAATAAGGTGTGTGACCCTTTATCAAAAACACCCTTGTCGGTGAGATCCCACATTTTAAATCAGTTCTCAGTTTAAATTAAATGTTTAATGTCAGTATAAGCCAAAGTGTAGGATCAAATGACTATTATAAATGTTATGACTATTGTAAAAATATTTTAATTTTCAAGCTTTGTGGTGAACACATATGTGCATTCAAGCTTACAACTATTTGTACAGTGATAACTAAAGGGAAATGGCAACAAAGAATATTAGATATAGTTTTTATTTAAAGTGAATCACTAATTTCCTTTGTTTATTATAGTCATGGTGAACCTGACTGAATGCATTCATCAACCATCTCCAACCAAGTCAGAGCTTCAAGGACAGCTTGTGCTAAATGTGCCTGAGCTTGATTAAGAAAAAAAGCATCTCCACTGGCCAAAGTCTACAAAAAAGCAAGAGAATAGAAGTTTGCAGATGATCTAACAGGTATTAACATAAAACTTGCATTACAATAATTTTGCAGATCAAACCTTTATTTCTTGGATGTGATCATTAAGTGCCTTTTCAAGCTGCATTTAGCAAGTTCAGACTCATGGGCTTTATATACAAACCCTTTATATAGAGAACATTTCTCAATGTTTTTCTTTAAAAAATGTAATTCATAAAAATACATTAAATATCTTTTATTCAGCATTTGTTAAACGTTCCAATATTTTTTTTTCTTTATTTTAAAACGGGTCCTTTATATTATTAAATTATTTAAGAGTACTTTGTTAATTTTTTGTCTTTATTTTATTTTAAGGTGGCGCAGTGGGTAGCACGATCGCCTCACATCAAGAAGGTTGCTGGTTCGAGACTCTGCTGGGTCAGTTGGCATTTCTGTGTGGAGTTTGCATGTTCTCCCCATGTGGGCGTTGGTTTCCTCCGGGTGCTCCGGTTTCCTCCACAAGTCCAAAGACGTGCTACAGGTGAATTGGGTAAGCTAAATTGGCCATATGTATGTGTGTGAATAAGTGTGTATGGGTGTTTTCCAGTGATGGGTTGCAGCTAGAAGGGCATCCGCTGCGTAAAACGCGTGCTAGATAAGTTGGCGGTTCATTCCGCTGTGGCGACCCCAGATTAATAAAGGGACTAAGCCGAAAATAAAATAAATAAATGGATGATTTTATTTTACAATAGATTCAGACTTTCGTGCTGCTCTAATTCAGCTCCCCCATATCTTTAAAGAGAAAGTTGATTGCTTACAGTAATTACACTGGAAGAGGTTTGGGTACTGTTGGTTAAACACTTTGTAATACTCTGATAGATGTTATGCAGTTCTGACAAATTTAACTTTGTTTATTGATGTCTTTTTTCTTTTCCTTTTCACAGTGGGATGATGATGATGATGCTCCCTACCCACCTCTACAGATGGTTGAAAGTCCTTTGCAAAGTGTTGGAGAATAGGAGTTAAAAGGCATTATTACATCCTTCGCCGTTTACTGTGTTTTAAACTTTGCTTATCCCCGCTACATAAAGAATGCAAAGGATGAGCATCAGCAACTCGCTGAGATGGAACGACAATGTAAATTTGAACATCAGCAACGGTGTGAAGATGGAGATCCAAAATTACAAGAAAAACAACTCAGTGCAGCTGTCCGAGAGAACTGGTATTGCTGGGTCTGCATCAAACAGCAATGCTTGGATCTTTGCATTTACTCTGGTTTCATGCGTTTCGAGTCTGCATTAGTATTTTAAGACTAGCAGCTATAGACATTTCAATAACATTGCCCAAATCAACTGAGAAGCACAAGATGACACAATGCTAAGAATTTTCTCCGCCCAACATCCTTGATGAGATTGACACATTCAGGTGTTCAAATTGAACTGTTTTTGTGAGCATGTGAGACCGCTAATGGAGAAGAAATTACTCTTTCCTAATGAAATACATTTTAAATGTCAATACTGCACTGGTTTCTGTGTGGCAAGTTTATAATACTGCTGTTGTATGATTCATATTTCCATGCAAATACACTAGGAGTTGACTTTGAATGGGGTGTTATAAACCAAGACAGATGGACTTTCAGGCTCTTGAAATATACTCTGCTGATAAACTGTAAAAAGAATGTTTAGAAATTTCAAATCAAATGTGTAAAACTTTGATCAAAAGTGTTTTTGAGATCTAAAATGATAAAGGGTATACAGTAAGTGACATGTTTCAATTTACTGTATGGAAAAAGATTGCTTTGAGATTCTTGATGCTTTTAGAAAAATGTAGAGTGCAGTGCACAAAAAAATATTCTTCATGAGGTCTAGTGCTGTTTTAGAAAAATTACTTTGTTACATTGGCAAAAATGCACAGTGAAATGGAATGTACTTAAAAAATAATATTAAGCTTTTTTTGCTGTTTCATAAAATGTTTTAAAATGTTTAAGCAGCTATTTTTTAAGTTTATGCATCTGGTATGACATTGTGAGTTTAAAACTTTCATCTTCTTAAAAGGTGACAATGTAATTGTTTTGAATCTTTCAATGAGTGTTTGTGATAAAATGTTACAAGTATAAAAGTACAATTATCGTGCAGTTTGTACTCATGGAAAAATATTGCTTTTTATTATTTTAAAATGATGTAATGTTTAAACATTCATCCTGTAAAAATGTTGATATTTACTGTTTAATAAATGTGATAAATGAAATTTAATGTGTATGGAGTACAATTCTGAAATGAAAGGGTACAAAATTAATCCCTATGGAGGAGAAATTGTACCTTTTTTAAAGGTACATTATTGTACCATAGCCCAAGTAAGGTACAAATTAGTCAGCAGAGGTACATATTTGACCCATTAAGGTACATACTGCTAGGGTACAAATATGTACCCATGTGAAAGGGTACAACAGGTGTACCCTTGAGGGTACTGCCCCAGTGACAAGCCATTGTACCCCTAAAGGTACAAATTTTGCACATTTTTTCTGACAGTGTAACGACAAATGTTTCCACTAAAAAACTATTCACAAAGCTGCTGAGACAAACTTGTAAAGAATTAGAACGGTCTTAAAGGGCTAGTTCACCAACAAGAAATGGTAACACTTTAGATCACAATTCACTGTATTAACAACCATTAACTAACACTCATAGCTTAATAAACAAGTAATTAACTGTTTATTAATAGTTAGTAAAGTAGAAGTTGGGTTTAGTTTTTTGGGTAGGATTTGGTATGCAGAATAAGATCGTACTTCATAACTACTAATGAACAGTTAATAACTTCATAATAGGCAGGTAATAAGCCAGTAGTTAATAGCATGAATTGTGACCTAAACTAAAGTGTTACCAAAAATGGTAATCCTGTCGTCACTCGTAGTTTCATTCTTGCAAAGAAAATGTTTCACCTCAGAAAGCAGTAACCATTGGGTTCCATAGTATTTGTGTTTCCTACTATCGAAGTCAATGATTACAGGTTTTCAGCTTTCTATAGCTATCTTCTTTTGCATTTAAAAGAAAAAAGAAACCCTTTTAAGGAGAGTAAATAGTGAGTACAATTTCACTATAGGGCAAACTTTTCCTTTAAGATATGAATAAGGATGGGGTTAACCATGTTGCTATGGATGATGTCAGCAAGCTGATATGAGAGTGGGGAGGTTCTGTCAGATTTATTCGTAGAAACATAATAAAGAGCAAGATAATGTTGCCATGTTCAAGATTAATTCAAATAAAGATTTTAAAATGCAAGCTGCACTAATTAAATTAGATTATGTATCAGCCTCTTACATGTGGGTTTCATGTAAACATGTAATTCAAGACAATTAGTGGATACAAAATAGTATAATGATGCGAGGGCATAAAAGGCATGGGACTATAACCAGTTTCAAGGTTTACCGCTGGTTGGAAAAGTCAAGTTTTTAATACCGCTACGTTAAAATGTTATGTTATACGGTTCCTAAGATATATGTAAAGTTTTGTTTTAATGTATTTTTTATGTTTTGTAAAAAAAAATCTGTTTTTGAATCTAATTAAGACAGCAGAAGTCAATGATTTATTTGAACTATTTAGCCTGACATGTTTACTGTTCCAAAATATTATACATGTTTCTTAAAATAAAATAAATTGTGTTTAATGGGGATTTTCTCTTTGTTTGTCCAAGACATTAAAAAACAACAACATACATTTAGAGCAGTAATCACAATACCATGAAATCGTGGTATTTTTATCCTAGGTAATCTTACTGTCAGAAACTTATTCCTGCCCATGCCTAACACTCATCCACTACGGCCAATTTAGTTCATCCAATTTACCCACGGTATATTGCATGTCTTTGGACTGTAGGGTAAACTGGAGCACCTGGAGGAAACCTGCACGAACATGGGGAGAAAACTGCACACAAAAATGCCAACTGGCCCAGCTGGTACTCGAACCAGTGACCTTCTTGCTGTGAGGTGACAGTGCTAACCACTGAGCCACCATGCCACCCCCTTTTAAAATAATATTATAGAAAAACAAACAATTTTAGTGATTTGGAGTTCATTTCAGTACCATAATTTCACAGATTTAGGAGCTAGTTTTAGTGCTAAAAGGCTTTGTCAAACACTTCTAGAGCAAACGTTTAGGAGTTTTACACACATTATTTTCAGTATTTAAAATTAGTTAGGAGATTTTAGCCTTAAGGTGTTTTATTAATACAGCCACCGATCTCTATCAACTTTCTAATAATCCACGTCACATTTAGTCCAGTATTCAAGCAATTAAAATTATATCATTTGACTAGTTAAACCAACAGTTCACTAAAAAGTAATTTAGTCACCCTTAGGCTATCCAAGACAAGGCTGACTTTTTTTCTTCAGCAGAACATCAGAGAACATTTACAGCAGAAAAGTTAAGTTAATGCTTACCATCCTTTTGTGAGTCGAAAACGGATTTGAAGGCAAAACAAAATTAATACCCGTGGCTTTTGTGAATCAAAAAAGGATTTACAGGCAAAACAAAATTAATACCCATGGCTCCAGTAATTACATTGGTCTTATAAAGACAAATGATTGTTGTGTGTAAGAAACTGAACATTAATTACAAGATTATCAGTGATGCACAGCCGCTGAGCATGTTCTTGACAGTGTGACGGCAGAGCTTCCTGTCATATACTGTGTTATGTGTGGTCACACGTAAGCATATATTGTTACACTAGAGAGAGGGATGTTTATGTTGTATTAATATCTGAAAACTATATAAAAAATTTGATTAAAAACCTCTCTGGGACGCTTATCAGATATTTTATGAATGTCCATGTGTGCTTTCTCGAAGCTTGTGTTCTTCAAATGAACAGCACATTGTAGTTCCACTTACACACACTTTTCCCTATAATGCTCTGATGATCTGGTAGAATGACCTTCCCAATTCAACCTGAGTCATTTGCAAGAATCAATTAAAGATTTTTTTTTCATCAACACTTAACTGCAGCAGTATATGATTGACTTTACATTGCTTTCATCTCTTTTGTGGTGTTGGGAAAAAGGAATATATTTTTCTATTATGTTTGTCTCTTTCTTTTCATTAAACAATTATTTCTATTGGTCATTAAAAGGTTATATATTAACAGAATTTTTTCTCGAATCTGATATGTTTTGCATATTAACAAAGCATTTTTGCAGACGTAGATAAATGCTGGTGCAAAAGTTACTTTAGCTCTGCAGAAACTTCCTCTCAGCAGAGAGGTGTTAAAACTGAACACAAAAAGTCTTACGCTTTTAATGTTGTGCCGAGAATTCGTAGAAAAAGAGTATGTATGGATGGGTGCAGCCAATGGAGGACTGGACAATGATTGTCATCAAATGACGAATTTCACTAAACTCCATCTGTTAATATCAGC